CCGGCGAGGAGGAGGGGCCAGGCGCGCCCCCGCGCGGCCCGTCGGGGGCAGGCGCGGCGTCCCGAGGAGGCGCCCCGGCGCAACTCGCCTCGCTGCGCGCACCCGGCCGATCCCGGACGCCTTGCCTTCCCCGGCCACCTGCGCGCTGCGCGCCGGAGCCTGAACGGCCGCCCATGGCTGACCGCGCAGCCCGCGGAGTCCGCTCGACTCTGGGACCATGAGGAGTCGGCATGGGGATACCTGGTGAGTAGGTTGCCGCGGCGGCTGCCAAGGGGGAGGGCAGTTCGGCGCGGCCAGCGGGGGCGATCAATGGCGCTGGGCCTCGGCCAACCGGAACTGGTCGGGGGTGGCCAGGTGGCCGGCGGGATCCGCCTCCGGCCAGGTCCGACACTCGCCCGGTCCGCTCAGGACGGCATCCCTGCCCTTCCAGCGGCTCTCCGGGGCTCAGGCGGGGCGGGACAGGGCTTCCCGGCACCGGCACCAGCACCTCCTGGACTGAAGATGCCAGCGCGGAACCGGGGGCTGTCGGCATGAAGCAGGTGCAGCTCCTTTGACTGATGGCTCCAAGGGCCACTCGCCCCCCCCCCCGCACCCACTGCCCGGCCCTTCCCTTCCCTTCCCTGAGTCTTCCGCAGGTTTGGAAATGGGAACCTGCAGTTCAGCACTGGCAGGGTCGGCAGGGGCCTGGCCACCAGGACACCCCACATCGGTTAGAGAGCAGGGCGATGGGGGGCTGAGACACTGGCAGCCAGCCGTCCTGGCTGTGGGGCAGTTGCAGGATCTGTGCCCCAAGACCGGATGGGCAGCAGCCGGGTTCTCTGGGAGAGGTGGCGGGGCAGCGTGGCGCTTGTGAGGACGCCGAGTGACCGAAGGCCTGTCACGGCCCCCCTCCACTGGAGGACCGTCCTGGTTACTCTCAGGCCTCCCTTGCCAGGTAGGCCAGGGCAGTCATCCCTGCAGGGGGGGTGTGCCAAGGGACGGGGTCTGAAGCGAGTCCTCACAGCTCACTGCGCCTGGCCTGCCCCTTTGGGAGCGCGGCGTGTGTGGGTCCGGACGGCGGGAGTCCGTGTGCTTGGCTCTGTGCGCTTTTCGGCCAGGCCAGGGAGAAACTGAATTAGCTAAAGCAGGAAGGAGCGATAAGGCGTCTGTCAACACGGCAGGGCTCACAAGGTCCCACTGAAGTGGATCCGAAATGCCAAATCTGAAACCAGGTGTGGAATTTGGAACTGCAGCCCGCTGAGCGGGGCAGAATGGAACGGGATGGAACAGAACGGAACAGAACAACCCAGCAGAGCCTTTCTGGAGGAGCCGCTGCACGGCCTCGGCCAAGTCCCGTTGGCAGCCCTGAAAAGCCGCACCGGCGCCTTGTAGGGGGGCTCCCCGCTTCTGCCTGGCCCGCCGACGCCAAAGGGCGCGCAGGACCCCCGGGGGGATTCTGGGGAACTGCCATCGGCTGCATGTGAAAGGGAGAGTGGAGGAGCAGACAGATGGGTTGTGCGAATGCGTGAACAGAGGGGTGGATGGACACGCCCCCCAGGATGTAGAGGAGAGGCAGGGAGGGGAGTAAAATGTCTCAGGACAGGAGTGGGCAGAAGCATCAAAGCACCGAGGTCCTGCAGGCCCTGCCCTGGCACCACTGCTAGGGGCACCACACTCAGGGGGAGGGACACGCCCCCTCCTGAGGCTTGGAGCTCCCTGGGTGGCTCTGGGTCAGGTGCAAGCTCTCGGCCTGAGCCACCTCGCAGGGTTGTTGTTTATGAGGATGAAAAGAGCTGCTCACAAGAAGAAGCGGATGAGAATCTGCAGAGATTTCTGCCCACAGCTGATCTGTCTTCCCCGTCCCTCCAGGGCTGACTGCTTTCCTGCTAATGTTGGGGTTTCTGGCTCCGGCTGTGCCTGCCCCCCTGCGGCCCCTCTGCGACCAAAGGGTCATGGACAAATACATCCAGGACGCCAGCAAAGTCGAAAGTGAAATTGTACGTCTGCGCCCCCCCCCCCCACAGGGGTTCCTCGCTGCTCCTTCGCCCCAGCAGCCCCTGGCCCAGGGCCCTTTCTCGACTTCCTGCTGAGGGCGGTCCTGGACCAAACCAAACGCTTTGATCCCAGGTGTCCCGACCCTGCGGCTTCCCCCTCTTTCGCGGTCACTCAAAGGGTCGGGAATTCGGGGCAAAGGATGCACGGAGGGCACCACGAGGCTGGTGGCTTTGTGGGGCCTGCATACCCAGGAGCCCAGTGGCCCCGTGGCACGGAGGCAAATGGGGGGGGTCTCCTGCCACAGGGAGCACAAGGCAAACCCGGAGGGGGGCGTGGGCCCCTCCGACACTGCTCTTCCCCAAGCATTGCTGTCTAGGCCCTTCCTCACGAGGAGCCCAGGGCAGCCAAGAACCCACATAAAGTGACGCAGCCCATGAACACCCTTACCGTCCTCTCTAAGTGGCAGCGACCCCCAGTGGCACCCCCACCAGAGGCAGGGAAAGCGGCCGCCCGCCTCCCCGGACGTTTGCCCAGCCCGTCCTTAACGGTCGCCGGAGCGGCGCCTGCGTGGGTGCCACAGAACCCCGAGCCTCTCTTGCGGGGGGGCTGCTGCCCGGCCGGCACTGACGCCGGGGAGGCGCGGGGTCCCCGTGGGCCAGGCGGTCTGCGTGGGCCGCGTCGTGGTGCAGAGTCCGTGGGTTTCTTTGCAGGCGGAGCTTTGCAAGGCGTCTTGCGATCTGCCCGGCCACGTCACAGTGCTGGACACCCGGGTGAACTTCCCCGCGTGGAGCGCCATGAATGTGAGTGGGGCGTGGAGAGCCAGCGGGGCGGCCGGGGGCCGTGGGGACGGGCCGGCTCACCGACTCGCTTGTGCCCTGCTCCAGAGGTCGAGCCAGGCTTCGGAAGTGTGGCGAGGCCAGGCCCTGCTCTCGGCGGCCGTCAGCCGCGTCAAAGGCCAGCAGCCGGCGACGCAGCCCTTCCGCCACCAGCTGGAGGTGATCGAAAGCTACCTGCGAAGCATCCGGGAGATTCTGCGCGGCCACGGCGCCCAGGTGGGGACCGGCTGGTGCGGGCATATCCGGGCGGCGGCTGCTGCTTCCCCTTTGCTCCAGAACTGGGGCTGGCTTTTGCATGCGAGGAGGATGCTTTGCACGTGCTCAGAGGTACCCCGCTAACAGAGTTTTGCCTGCAGACCTGCCTCGCCTCCTTGCCTGCCCGCGCCAGGGCCCCGGGGCCTCGGGCCGGCCTGACGGGGGCAGGCTCTGCAGCTTGGAGACCCCCTTCCCAGTGCAGTGGCAAACGGTTTCCGGGCGCGCCCTTGCTGGCGGTGGGGGGGGGACACCCCGTGAGGCTGCGGGAGCCTCCTGAGCAAGGCGTGCGGGTGCCAGCGCGGTGGGGGAGGGACGGGCCCGGGAGGGAATGCTCCGAGTCATTCTGCAGGCTGGCCTGCTCGCTTCCCCGGCTTGCATTGGATTCGGACCAGCCCGGAAAGGTCAGTCCCTTCTGGAGGAGAGATAAACAAAGCTAAAGGTCTTTGCAGGAGGCTGGCCAAGCAGGGCGCCTCCTGGGCAGAGCCCCGTGCCGGCTGCCCCCCCCCCCCGGCAACTCGAGTCAAGTCCCAGCTCGGGGCTCTCGTTTCTGAGCCCACTCCTCTGAGTCCCCGTTCGCAGGGCGGGCTTGAGGGTCCCTGTTTTGCACCCCTGAAACTCACGCCAGTCTAGTCTGCTTGTTTTAGTTATTTAGCTACGGAATTCTCCATCCAGTATAGACTTCCAGAATGGCAGTCCTGCCTTTCAGCTTATTGTCTAAAAGGTGCCACAGAAAAGGAAAGGCGAGCCTGAGGGAGGAGGAAAAGCTTTGGTGCTGGTTCTTAATTTCAAAGCTGTTCTTTTGGCGGCGTGGGGGGGGGGTGGCGCAAGGTCCTCGCTGCGGCTCCTTCTCCAGACATTCAGCAGGCCAAGCTGGTCTCCCCCCGGCCATATTGTGCTTCCACACTCTGTGGGGCAGAGCCCCCCGTGGCCCCCAATTCACTCGTGGGTGGGCAGTTTCCCCTGTGAATCCCTCGGCAGCTGCTTTGCAAAGAGAGGGGAAAGAGAAGCCACCGGCACAGAGGGAAGGTGTTTCCCTTGAACCGTGCCGGCAGCCAGAGTCGCAGGGCAACCATTATGGGATGGCCCGGGCTAGAGCTGAGGACCACTGAAAAGCACCGAGGAAGAGCAGGTTTTTGCACAGAGACAAAGCGTTCTGTCAAACTCAAAGGCTTGCAAGCTCTTGCGTCAGTCTGGACGCTTCAGGGAAAAGGCGACCGATGCGTGTCTCTGCTCACTTTGCGCTGCTGCTGCAGGTGGCCGCGGCGGCGCAGGAGGAGATCTCGGCCCGGACGCTGAGCGTGCAGACTGTGAACAAACTCTTCAGCATTTACTCGAGCTTCCTCCGCGGAAAGGTGAATTTGTTCATTGCCGGGGCCTGCAAGGACAGCGGAAGGTGACGGCAGGGGGCTGCAGCGTCGCTCACCACTCTACCTGCTGGCCCTGCTGTGAAGAGGGCCTGAGTGCCCCAGCCGAGTGACAACTTGGATGACTGGCAGGCCCACCTGCGCACGCTCACACGCCCTGTGGCAGGGAGACGGCCGGGCGCCATTCCTGCCATCACAGATGCTCTGCGAAGGGAGGATGCAGCGCCTCCCCGCAAGGGCCGGAAAGGTGGCTCCCACGAAGCGACCAGGCGTGGGGGGCGCCTGCTTGCTGGCTGGCCCTGCAGCGAGGCTGCCCAGGCAAGACAGGAGGCGGCCGACAGGACGGGCCGTGGCAGCGTGGGGCGCGGGGGGCCCCTTCAGCTGCCCTTCCGAGCCCCGAGGCAAAGCTTGGTCGGTGAGAGGGCGGGAAAGAGGCCGCCCCCCCAGGCCTGGCCAGGCAGGGCCGACTCGGTCCCCACTCGCGAGCCCCGCAAGGGCTGGGGGGGCTCTGGCCGGCCCGTGGCTTCCTCCGAGCGGGGCGCCTTTTGGCCTCGTAGGGTAGGAAAGAGGCAGAAGCACGGAATGAGGGGAGGTCTGTAGGAAATAAAGAAAAGAAACTGAGAGAGGATCTTGGGGGGGGGGGTTGGGGGGAGGGAAGGAACAGTTTGCACGTGTTGGATCCAGCCCTTTCCAGGGCTCAGAGGATCTTGGCCGTCGGACATGGGTGACCACCAGGGGCTGGTGTCCGGGAGTGACCCGTTCGTTTCCCAAGACCGAGGAAGCTGCGTGAGCGGCGGGTTTGCACGGGGGGTGGGGAGAGAGATCGTGGGAAGTTGACGCGAGGCTCGCGGCTATATTGTTGTGCTATGGGTGTCGAAGGCAAACATGGAAAGGGGCTTCTTCCTGGGCGTGCTTACTTATGAGTAAGCTGCCCCAAATTAAGTGGGTCTGCTTCTGAGTAAGCTTACTTAGGTCTTGACGCGTTGGTGAGAGTGGGGCCGGGCAGCTGGGGTGCCGAGGCTGCCATCTGGCCATCGCGGGCCTGGGCCACGGAGACCCGCAGAAGGGTGGCCGGGCCGGCCAGCGGGCAGGGGGAGCGTTGCCCACCCTCCTGGACCGAGCCCAGGGAGCAGGGAGCCTCGCAGGCGGGTTGGTGGTCGTCAGTCTCTCGGCCACGTTTGCTGTCCGGGGCGTTCCAGGTGGGGAGAAAGGAGCTTAAAGATGGCTTAATCTTTCTTCACTTCTTCACATACACTGAATTGTATATATGTGCATTTTGTTCTGAGGGATTTCATGAGATTTTATATTTGATACTAAGTTAAACATGTACAGTTTTCTGTGTATTTATCTTCTTACCTTCAGAGAGCAGCTGGGTTGTAAACTGGTCCAGGGCAGGGGATGGTCATGGTGGACAGATGTTTGCGATTTGCTTCTATCTTTATTAAACGAGGTTGTGCTTCCCAGAAAAGTCAAGGGCAAAGGTTTGTGTGTGTGTGTGTGGCGGGGGGACGGATGGGAAAAGATTGCCACTGCCTTGAACAGTGCGGCACCCAGTCTCGGCCCTTTCTGGGATGGACTTCCACGGAAAAGGTACTTAGCACCTGCCCAGAGACACTCTTGTCTTTATAGTACGCTTCCCATCTTCCCAGACAGTGAGAAGAAGTCCTTAGAAGGAAACCTGGGATTGTCCCAAGGCCGGTAATCCTGCTGTTGCCACGCCAAGCTGCAGACCTTGAACTTCCGACTGGGCTCATGGGGCTCGCAGGATCCGACTGCAGCGCCCGGCCCTGCTGTGCGCTCACTGGGCCACACGCTGCCCAGGGAAACACAGTTACCAGCTGCTTTTTTAAATTATTATTATTATTATTATTATTATTATTATTTTTATTATAACATTTCTATGCCGCCCCTTGCCGAAGCCTCGGGGCGGCTTACAACACAATAAAATACATTGAAATACAATAGAACATAATAAATTACCACTAAATACAAAAATACACTGAGATACAACATAATAATATAAAATTAAAATTAACAGTATAAAATAAGTAAATAAAGAATATAGGAGGATATTTTGCAGCTGCCGGGCAGCGTTGTGCCACAGCTGCGTGACCTCAGCCCTGGCAAAGAACCCAGGCGTCCGAGTGCCGGGCATCAACCTACCCCCCCCCCCGCCTTCTGTCTTCAGCTCAGCAGGAAGATGTAGGTTGGAGCTGTGGGGATGAGAGAATGAGCAGAAGGACGTGGAGAGTTTGGGCGTGGAGAAAAATAATTATTTTACGCAGAATCGTCATTTGGCTATTCTTGAGCGCAAGTTCGTGGGCGACGTGGGGCTCGATTTCTGTCCTGTGGCCACAGGAAACGGGGGAAAACCAAGAGTGCCTGACCTCACCCTAAAGTCAAAATACACACACAAAAAAGAGCGTTTATTATGGTAGACGCTTTCCTGAGCAGGCAGCAGCAACCGTCACAACAACCCTGCGAGGGAGGTTAGGCTATGTCGGGTGCCCAGCCCCGAGTCAGCCGGGGTTTCACGGCGGAGGGGCACCTGCACCCAGCAGCCCCAGCCCAGCCCCGAGACCGCGGCCCGCGCTGGCCTCCAGGTGCTCGGTCGGGTCGCCCGCGGGAGAGCGGCCGCCCGGGGCCCGAACCCGTGGCCGCAGGAGTCCCCGCGCAGCGGCCCGCGGTCGGGTCTGCGGCAGCGCCCTGCCGTGTCCCAAGGCGGCGCTTCCCCCGCGGGACTCCCCGGCGGGCACAGGGCTGGCCGGGGCGGACGGGCGCCCCGGGGTGGGGGCGGCGCGCGAGCCCCGGGGGCGCCGGGGCAGCTGGCCTGGCCGCATCCCGGCGGGCGCGCCCCCACCCGCGGCGGAGACCCCTGCCGGGCCCGGCACCCGTCCTGCGGCTGGAGGCGCGCATCCGGCGCCCTTCCCGCGGGGCGCGGGACCCCCGGGCTCCCTGGGCGCGGGGCAGCGAGCCGGGGCTCCCTCCGCAGCCTCTCCCCGCTCGGTGCCGCCGCCTGCCGCACCGGCCCCGCGGCGCTTTATCTCCGCGGCTCCTTGCGCAACGCAGACAGCCCGGCGCCCGGCTTCCGAGCGGGGCGGCGGGGCTGGGCACTGGGCCGGGGCCCCGCGGCTTCCCCGCCCGGGGCTGCCCCGCGCCCGAGTGCGCGCTGCCCCTGCCCCTGCCCCTGCGCCGGGCCGGACTCTGCCCCGCGGCGCGTTGCCTTCCTGCTGCGTCCATTTCGGGCCGCGCCGCCGCCCGGGCGATCCAGGAGGGCTCCGAGCGCGCCCCGCGCCCCACGCCGGGTGGCCCCGCTCCCGAAAGGCTCCGGGCGCCGCTTGGAGAGCTTCGGCCGCGGCGGCGCGGGGGAGCCGGGCGACGGCTCGCCGCGGAGGGCAGCGCTCCCTCCCCGAGCCAGCGCTGGCGGCGCGGAAGCGAAGCAGCCCCGCCTGGCGCCCCCCCGGGTGCATTGGACTACAAGCCCCACCATCCCCAGGGGCACCTGGCTGCGGGAGGCTGCAGGAAAACCCTGAAAAGCGCTTGGAGCAGAGGGTGGTCTCGGGCATGAGAAGGTGAGAGAAGAGGCTGCGCCTTCCCCAGGTTGGCATCCTGGGGATGTGTTGGACTACGAAGCACATCATCCCCAGCCAGGGAAGGGGGATCCAGGAAGAACGGGCAGATCCAGCCCCTCCCGGGAAGAACATGCGAATAGCTCATTTCACCATGCTTTGACTTCTGCGTGAGGCTTAATACCACAGCACAACCAGAGGGCGGCTTGGAGGGGCGCTGGGCTCTGCCCCCTGCCTCAGACCCTCCCACCCGAGCGGCCCGGCAGAGGCGCTCACTGGGCCTCGCTCCCGGGCGCGTGTCCCGCGGGAGGAGCCGCCATGCCAGAGGGAGGAACCTGGGCAGGGAGAGGAGGCCGCCGGCGGGCCCTTCTGCGGAGCTGGGCCTCCCACGAGCCAGTGAGTCTGCGGGGGACGGCGGGGTGGAGCTGGTGGCCCTGGGCGGCTGGGGTGGCTCCGGGGAATGCGGTGGCAGGTGGGCGCCCCAGCGTGCGATGGGGGACCAGGGAGCACCTGGGACCGGCTCACCTGGCGGACTCCCGCCGAGAGCCTGCCCCGCGAGCAGCCCCCAGGGAGGGAGGGAGTTGCGGCCCCACTGCCAGGGAATCCTGTCGGCAGGCAGGGCACTGAGCCGAGGGCACTCCACGCACAACCCCCCCCCCCGAATTAGACACCTCCCAGCCTGGTGCTGCCTTGATAGCCTCGAGTGTCTTCCTCCTCCTGGGTGAGGAGGCAGCTGGGGAGAAGGAGACAAGCTCGCCGGTGGGTGCCGAGAGGACCGCCGTCGACCACCTGGGGTGGGTGGGGGGTTTCTGAGTCGCTCTTTATCGAGGTAATTTGTCCCACCACCACATGCCCCCAGATGGGAGGCAGGTGAACTCCGGAGGCAGGGAAGCATCCCAGAGGGCGGTTTGGGGAGCCGCAGGATCACCCCGTCCCGAAAAGTGCGGCCACGCTCCTCTGTTGGCCCCTGGAAAGGGGGGGGTGGGGGGCTGGCAGCGCCACCCAGCAGGTCTGCCGTCCAGGGCGCCTGCCAGGTTGGAGGCGACTCTCAGGGGCTTCTTGGCACCGTGGTTAAAGGTCAGGATTGCTCTGGAAAGGAAGGGACCAAGGCAGGTGAAACAGAGGCGGAAGGCCAGGCCGCGGGCCCCCTCTCCGGGCAGATGGCTCAGTCGGCCCGGCCCCGGGAGCTAATGTTTAACCATGGGATGGCGGGAGAGGAAAGGGGCGTGTTGACGCTGGAGAAGCAGGGCCACTTTCCCCTGCCGCACTGGCCGGGAAGTCCCGTTCTCTGGCTGGGCGCCCCCAGGAGCAGGCAGGGCTGGAATGGTCCTCCAACCGCCCCTGGGAGCGTGCGGCTGCTCCCGTTCATTTCCTGCATGCCCAACCCCAGGGCTCCCCGCATGTTCCGGAGCTTCAGGCGCCCCCCCAGCCCCCTGTACACTCCAGGGAGGTGGCCGGCTCTCCCCGCAGCAGGCCTTCAAGAGGATGGCTTCAGTTGGCGTCCTGCGTGGGGCAGGGGCTTGCACCGGGGGGGGGGGGCGCTGGCCCCCTCCAGCCCTGCAGTTCTACAGAGTCTATGACTGCCTGGGCCTTCTCCAGGCTGGCGCCCGCCATCCCCCAGCATGCCTCCCTGTCCCGCCACGCCATGGACCGTCCTCCAAAACGGCAGGCCCGGCACTCCCACCCGGTGGCCGTTCTCTCCCGGGACCCGAGCCCCGCCGTGCGTCCGGGCACCTGGGCAAAGGGACGGAGGCCCTGAGGCGTGCAGCAGCCTCCCGGGGCCTTTTCGACGCCTCGTTTTAAGGGCAGGGCGCGTGAGCTTCGCCGCAGACACATCTCGCCGCTGTCCGGCAGGAATGGCGCTGGGCGAGCACGCGAGCCGCGAGGGAACCCGCTTGGCGGGGGCGAGGGGAGCTCGCGCTTGCTTCGCAGAGGAAGCGAGGAGAAAGGTGGCCACGGCCAGCCGCCCTCCATGCAAGGGCCGAGGCGCGGCTGAGCCCCTCGCGGGCCGACTGCTCCAGGAGTGCGGCACCTTTGCCCCGCCCGGAAAGGGTTGGGAGGGGAAGCACGGCCGCCGGAAAGGTGAAAAGAGGGGGAGCGCCGGGCAGTGTCTCTCAAATCGAGAGCAGACGCCTCGGGCCTCTTCGCATCTCCTCAGCAAAGTGGCCTCAACAGGGAAGGACTGAGAGAGGGTGGCTCGCCAGGAAGGCCTCGACTCGGGAGCCCTTCTGGCCCCTCAGAGCGGCCTTCGCGGACCTGCAGGACTCTGGCTCCCCGCGGGCACAGCCAGGAGCCTCATGGCAACACATCCGGAGTGCCCCGCTCCCGGCTGCGAGGAAACTGCACTGGCTGCCCCTTGAGGGGTCTCCAGCGGCAGGGTCGCGGGCACGGTGGGCGCGGCGCTGCTTCGCGGGCTCCTCTGGGCGCTCTGCGCGGGCGGTGAGCCTCTCCCGGGAAAGGGCTCCGGGGTGGAGGGGGGCCCGATCCCGCCCCCCAGCTGGGGGACCAGCTGGGCGGGCGCCCGGCGGCGGCTCGGCCCGGCTCGGCTCTCGCGGCTGTCCCGGGTGTGCTTCACGGACCCCGGGCCCCTCGGCATGCGCCTCCCAAGCCGTGCCCTTCAGCCGTGCCGGGCCGCAGCCCCCATGCTCCCCAGCCTAAAGGCTTGTGAATCGCAGTCCAGCGTGTCTGGGCTGCCCAGGCCGGGCCAGAGCCTCACTCGGCACTGGGGGCTCCTCGGCGGGCAGCGGCCCACCGGGGTCTCACGAGCGGCATGCCCGGGAAGAGCAACGCCGCTGCCCTCGGCTGGACGGGCTCCCAGCACCCTGGGTGGCTGCGGAAGGTGGGAGCAGCGGGGCCGGGCCGGGCCGTGCGCTCCCCTCGCCCAGGGGGCTGAGCCTCGGGGCAGGCGGCAGGCTGTGGCGGCTGATAACAAACCAGAGGCGATAAAGCGGCCTGGCGGCACGTACGCAGGAGCCGCTCCTGCGGGAGGGCGGGGGAGATGGCGGGGCACCAGCCGGGATGCGGCCGGGGCGGCGTGGACCGTGTCCCCGGCACCCGTGGCAGCTCACTGCAGCCGTTCCTCCCCCAGGGCCGTGGCAGCGGGTGTCCCGGGGGGACCATGGAGCTGTGGAGGCCCCGGCAGCGGGACGTGGTAAGGAGGGCCGCCCACCGGGATCCGGCCGCGGCAGCGCGCAGCCTCCGCCTGGGTGACGCACGCCCACCCGGAGCGCCGCCGAGCCGCCTGTCGCTGCCTCTCCGCAGAAGAGCAAGAAGCCTCCGCGCCGCGCATACAGCATCTACCGCAACGCCGAGCGGGACGGGGAGCCCGGCCCGGAGGAGCTCCCGATGAGAGCCATGGGGGCGGACGGCCCCACGCCACGCTCGGACCGCGGTGGCGGGGCGCGGGCCGGGCAGGCGGCAGGAAGGCGGCGGAGGGCGCCGTGGAAGCCCGTGGCGTACGCGGGGCTGGTGGGGCTCCTGCTCTTCATCGGAGGTGAGAGGCACCCGCACGCCCCGGGCAGCCCCCAGGCAGGAGGGCCACGGTCGCTCCGGTCCCCGGCCGTGTGCCTGCTGGCCGTGGCCCTTGACAGAGCCCCCCACACACACACTCACCTGGGACCCCTCTGAATTCCAGCCCGAGTCATTGCCCTCGAGGGGCGTCTTGGCACGAAGCGCCCGCCCATGATACCACGGGGGGGGGGGGGGGCCCCGGGGGGGGGGCGCTGGTCCCAGCCCAGGCGGGGGAGGGGGGGGGGGGGGAGGTGGCGTTCCAGGCGGGCGGGTGCAAGGTCTGGCACGTGGGACGTGGAAGCGGTGCCGTGGGTGCAGAGCAGCACTTGTGGAAGGGATCTCTGGGCGCTGGGCACGATCCGGCGTGTGACGTGGCAGGTAGGAGGGTGAGCCTGCCTGTGGCCGCGCGGCCAGGAGCGAGGCCTCCGGGGCGGGGGGGGGGTCGCCGGTGCTGCTCCACCTGACCCTGGGGCGCCCACCGCTGGGAGACGGCGCCCGGCTCTGGGCGCCACTTGACACGAGGGACGGGGCGAGCTGCGTAGGAGCTGCGTGCAGGGAGTCGGGGATGGTGGCCGGACTGGGGGGGCTGCTGCACGGGGCAGAACTGGGGCCTTGCCGCTGGCGAGGGGGACTCCGAGGGGCCGCCGCACGGGGGGGCCTTCCCTGCTGCGCTCCGGTGGGGCAGCTTGGGGGCCTCTTTCCCTCCCTGGCCCTGGACCCCCCCCCCCCACCATTGCTTTTCCCAGGGTTCCTCCTGGGGCACGTGTTGTCCCGGGGGGCGGCCTGCGCGGCGTGTGGACACGTCTTGTCGGTGGCGAACGACGAGGGCACGTACGAGGAGGAGGAGGGCCAGCGGGCGCCCCCCAAGTACTGGGCGGAGCTGCGGGAGATGTTCCAGAAGTACCTCAAGGAGGAGAAGATCGAGGAGACCATTCGGTGGGCCCCCTGGACGCGGGGGCGGGGGGCGCGGGGCGTGGCCCGGGGCAAGGGGAGGGCTGTGCAGGAGCCCGGCTGCACTGTGGCCCAGCTGCCGCTCGTTCCGGGGGGGGGGCTGCACGCGATGGTGGCCCCCGGCCGGACCCAGGGGGTGGGAAGGGGCGCAGGCACCTGGGCTTCCACCCTGCCGCTCCATGGGGCAAGTACTGGGCCCCCCTGCGCAGGGACCCCCTCTGTCCATGGGAGCAGCTGCCCTTCCCTGCCTCCTCTTCCTCAGCTGGCGCAACGCCCCCCGGCCAGGCCCAGGGAAGGGGCAGAGGAGCGGGCAGCCGAGCAGCCGGGGGGGTGGGGGCAGGGGCTTCCCTGCGTGGGGCAGCCCACCCTTGGCGCGGCCCGGGCCTCGCCCTCGCCCACGGGGCTCCCGGCCACGACGGGCCCGGTCTCCGCTGACGGCTCCCCCCCGCAGGAAGATGAGCGAGGGCCCGCACCCCCCCGGCTCGGCCCGCCTCGACACCCTCTCCCGGCTCGTCTTCGGCGCCCTCTCCTCCTTCGGCCTGGACCACAGCTGGACGGACAGCCACTACGTGGGACTGCAGCGCCCCAGCCGGTCAGCGGGGCTCGGCGGGCGGCGGCCCCCCACGGGCAGGGGGCGCCCTCGGCCCCCTTCAGCCCGGCCCTCCCTCCTCCCTCCAGGCAGCAGCCCAGCTTCCTGCACCGGGTGGACGCCCACGGCCTCGTGCTGGAGAAGCTGCCCCTGGGGGACCCCGCGGTCTACTGCCCCTACAGCGCCTCCGCCACCGTCACGGTACGGCCCGCTCGGCCCAGGCGCCCCGCCGGCACCGCTGCCTCTGGCCGCCGGAGGGGCTCTGCTGCCCCAGCCGGAGAGGTGGCAGCTTGGGAGCGGGGCGGCCAGCGCTCACATGCCCCCCTGGCCCGGGCACGGGGGGTGAACGCACCCCGGGGCTGGTGGGGCCCGTGGCAGGGCGGGGCGGGGCCGAAAACCCCAGTGCCTGCCCGCAAGGAAGCCCTGCCCGAAGCCCCCGGGGCGCTTGTCCCTCCGGGATGCGGGCGACCGTGCAGCAGGCCCAGAAGGCGCAGAAGGATCGGTGCCGGCAGGGAGGGCTGCGGACCCCCGAGGAGCCCTGCGGGGCAGGGCCTGGCCGCCAGCTTCGGCCCCGGCCTCCGGGCTGAGGTTGTGTGGCCGGGCCGCTTGCAACGGGCCCCGAAACACGCAGCGCAGCCGGATGGGCTCCCCAGCAGCAGGAGCCGGTGCTGGGCGGGGGATGTGCAGCAGCGAGCGGCCTCCCAGGCCCGGGGAGCAGCCTCGGGGGGCCACAGCACCCCACCGCCCCACCCACCCTGCCCGGCTGAGGGCCCCCTCCTCCCGCACCGCAGGGCAACCTGGTGTTCGCCAACTACGGGCGGCGCGAGGACTTTGCCGTCCTGAGGCAGCGCGGCGTCGGCCCCCAGGGGCAGCTGGTCCTTGTCCGGGCCGGGGAGATCAGCTACGCCGAGAAGGTGAGTCCGGCGCGTGGCGGCCCTCTGCCCATGCTCGGCGGCCTGTGGCGGGGTGTGCCAAGGCCCCGAGACCGTGCTGGGCCAGGGTGCGGCTTGTGGCCGGTGATGGATGCGGGGGGCGGGCGCTGTGCACCGCTGGCCACCAAGTGGCACTCGGGAAGCGTGGCCCGGAAGAGGGACGCGTCTCTTGGAAGAGATGGCCGCCCGAAGGGAAGGGAAGGGAAGGGAAGGGAAGGGAAGGGAAGGGAAGGGAAGGGAAGGGAAGGGAAGGGAAGGGAAGGGAAGGGAAGGCAGTTCTGAGGAGTTGCGAGGGAGAGACCGTGCCCCAGGGTCTGGAAGCCTCGTCCCCTGCTCCTCGGGGTGATGAGGGGGTGTTGCGGAGGGACTTGGGGCCCGGACCTCCTGGCCTTTCTGTCGCAGGTAGCCAACGCCGAGGCTGCCCACGCCAGAGGTGTCCTCATCTACCCAGACCCCTATGACTTCCCGCAAGACCCCCGAAACCTGGGCCTGTCTCCGAACACGAGCATTTATGGGCACGTGAGTAGGGGGTGCGGCACTGGGACCTCGACCGGAAGGGGCAGGGGCTCTCCCGGGAGCCCCGCTGGAGCGGAGCCTGCGTTGGCCCCAGGCACATGGGGTCCCCCACGCCCGCCCGGCAAGCTCACCCCTCCCTCGCTGTCGCTGCCCACGGCTCCCGGACTGGTGCTGCACGAGGAAGCGGGTGCTGGCCAGGCCAGGCTCAGGGTGGGCCCATCCTGTCGAGCAGTGGGGTCCCGCAGGGGCCCCTGCGCTTCCTCTGGGGGCGGTTGCCCTCTATCAGTGGAAGACCACCACGAAGGCCACGGTGCTCTCCGTGAATAAGGGTCGGGACCCGGGCCCGGGCCCGGGAACAGCCTTCCCACCCTGGCGGGCTGCGCTCCCGGGCCTCCCCCGGCCGTGGGGGGTGCCGGCTGCCGGGCAAGGCCAAGCTGGGGTCCCTCCGCTCCAGCCCAGGCCTGTTGCCCCTGGCGGGGCCCAAGGGCGCTGCCCCTCCTCCGGCTGGCGCTCCCGGAGAGGCGTCCGCAGGCGGCAGGTCCCGCGGCTCATCGCGCTGTCCGCCCCCCCCCCCCCGTCTCCTGCTCGCTCGCAGGTCCACATGGGGGCCGGAGACCCCTACAGCCCCGGCTTCCCGTCCTTCAACCACACCCAGTTCCCCCCAGTGCAGTCCTCCGGCCTCCCCACCATCCCCGCTCTCCCCATCAGCGCGGAGGCGGCTGCCCGCCTGCTCAGGTGAGTCGGTGGCGGTTCCGGGGGGGGGGGGGCGGACCCCAGGTCCCCTGGAGAGGCCAGAGGCCCCACGGCCCCTCGCAGCCCAAGGCGGTCACCAGCCTCGTGTGCTTCCCTTGCAGGCGCCTGGCGGGCCCCGCGGCCCCACCGGGCTGGGAGGGGCGCCTCCCGGGGGTCCCGTACCAGCTTGGCCCGGGGGAGCCCGGGCTCAGGCTGCAGCTGGGCGTCCGGAGCATGAAGCGGTCGGTGATGGTCAGCAACATCTTCGGCTGCATCGAGGGGAGATTTGAGCCAGGTAGCGGGGGGAGCGGGGGGCGCCCCGGCCCTGGCCCCGGCCCGCTCCTGCAGCGGGGCCCCCGCGTTCTGGGGAGGGGGCGCTGCCGGCGGCCTGACTTTCACGCTGCCTGCGTGGCCTCTGCCTGCTAGATGTTTACCTCATTGTGGGGGCCCAGCGGGATTCCCTGGGACCGGGAGCGGCCCGCTCGGGCGTGGGCACGGCCATCCTGCTGGAGCTGGCCCGCACGTTTGCGGCCATGGTGCAAAACGGTAAGCCGGGCGGCCGAGGGCGGGACGTGTCGTGCCGCAGGCTGGGCTCGCTCTGCGTGGCTGGCGGGACGGGAAGCGGGGCGCCTTCTGCTTTGCCCAGGGCAGCCCTGAAAAATGTGGGGGGCGGAAGGTGGCTGTTAAAACCCACGGCTGCCTTAAAGGGGATGGAAAGAAGTGCATGCTCTTCAGGAAGAGGAGCCGGTCCTTGCAAAATTGGCGGCCACGGGGTGACGCCCGCGGACGCCGCTTTCGGTCAGTCGCCCCCGTGCTCTCGTTCGCCGCCAGGGTTCCAGCTCCGGAGAAGTTTGCTCTTTGTGAGCTGGGATGCCGGGGATTTTGGCAGCGTGGGCTCCACCGAATGGCTGGAGGTGAGCAGACCGGGCCGGCCGACTCCTTCCGGCTGACAGGTGTATTGGGGTGCTTCAGTGGGCGCTGGGAGGAGCGGCGGGGGGCCACACATGCTTCTCGCCTGCCCAGCTTTGAGGCGGGGGGGGGCTTTCCGCAGGGCCCCCGTGCCTCGGGTGTCCCAGGCCGGCTGCCGTAGGCGCTGGTGCTGCCGGGCAGGCCGGCGGCTGCGGCCCAAGCGCTGGGCGCCGCTCACCCGTCCCGCCTCTCTGAGGCCCGCAATCCTCTCTCGGCAGGGCTACCTCACGATGCTGCACCTCAAGGCGGCCGCGTACATCAGCCTGGACAACGCCGTCCTGGGCAAGTGGGGCCCCACGATGCCTCGGGGGCGGGTGGGCCCTTGGGGAGGGTCCCGGGCCCTTGCAGGCAGCCCGCCGGGGTCCCGGGTCCTGCTCAGCGGTGGCCCCAGTTGCAGGATCAGGCCACCGTTTGGGATCACCGCCCCTCCCAGGCACAGACAGAGGGCAGGAGGAGAGCCTGCTTGGTCAGCCCAGCGGGGCATGCTCCGGAGCCCGGCTCTTCTGGGCGCTGGCCCAGGCTCCCCCCAGCTTGATGATTCATCCGGGGAAAAGTGGGGGCGGAAATTCTAGACGGAAGAGAGGGATGGAAACTGACAGCCATAAGTGGAGCTGACCTAAACTGAAGAAGACGTTTGGGGGTCATGGGAGGAGATAATAGGGGGCAGGGAGCACTAGGAGTGAGGACTAGAACCTTGACACTGATGCTAAGTGCAGTTTTCCTCCACTGCAGGAGACGACAAGTTCCTGGCCAAGACCAGCCCAGTCCTGATTAGCCTCATCGAAAGCGTCATCAGACAAGTGAGTCAGCCCCCCTCCCTGCTGCTTGGTTAAATCCCCCCCCATTTATTATGTGTTCACAGACCATTAAAGCCCATTAGTTGAGAGGACAAAGTACTCAAAGGATAGCAGTATGTCAACTGCCCGACATATTTAAAGCCTCAGTACAATAACGCGTGTGGGACATCAGAACGTGATGACATCAGTATCTTAGTGACAGAAAATAAAAAATTTGAACCGCATCCTGTTACCCGTTTGTTAACAACAGCCAATAAGGAAGTCACATACCAACTGGAAAGTCTTCCAGGAAATTTACTGAAAATGGGTGTCATACGTCTTATCTCTATAAAATTACGAAAGAGAAATATATGGCACGGGCAGAGGGGACTTGGATAGGGAATTCCCTGGAAAGCGCCGTCCCATACTGCAGAGGGAATCGCCTCCCCTGGATCCGGCTTCGGACGAGACTATTCAATGCTGAGGAGGAAGAAGAGTTTCAAGACATTCTGCATTTCTCCGAATGTCGCCAATTGATTCTGAGCACATCGGAAGTGGCCGATAAAGCAGACAGGACAGCAGTGGAAACGAAACGGCGCTGCTTGGGAGGTGTCTTAAGTGTCGGGAGACCCAGAATTTCCCGTTTCTCTGTGCCATCCAGGTCTTCTTGGGGAAGGGACACGGTGCCTCATTTGGCCCTTCACGGGGAAGCTGAATGCCCAGCATCCACGGATGTCGGCAGGACAGCAGGGGACGGGGGCAGAGCGAGCTCTCCGAAAAGCTGAGAGCATTTGTTCCGAAACAGGAGAGGAGCCCCCTAGCTACACGGGGACTCCAAACAACGGCTGCCTTGAAGACGAGAAACGCGCAGCCTTCCTCTTGTGTAAAACTAGCAAGCCTCAGTCTTGACACCCCTGGATGCCGACTGCAGAGCACAGCCACCCGAGCGCCAGAGTACGGGAAAACACTCCCCAAATGCTGAAATCGTCCAGCTTATTCTATGGTCTGAGACGCTGCTGGAAAAGACTGTAAACTTGGCTTTCTAAGTTCGTTCATGCATTTTCATCCGAGGCCCCTGGAGGGGAAGCGGCTGGGCTCAAGCAGAAGGGGAAGGCAGCTGGGCGCTGGGCCCTTTGGGAGAGGCATGAGGGGCCGAAGGGGTGCAGCGGGGGGCCCAGAGGGACACAATGGGGCCCCTCGGAGCCAGGACCCCTGTGCTCTTTGAGTGAGGGCTGGTTCATTTTACAAGGCAAATGCAGTTCTTTGAGCCTGGATGAATTGCCAGGCTGACTCTCCAGCTAATTCGCTAATTAACTCTCAGGCAGTTTGGCACTTGGGCGCTTAATTCCCTGCTCCTGCCTGTTTCTTGGTAGGTGGACAGCCCCAACCGCAGCGGCCAGAGCATTTTCGACCAGATGACAGAGCAAGGCCAGCGCTGGGAGAACGAGGTGTAAGCCCTGCCCCCCCCATGTGTCTGAGCCCCCCCCCGGTCTCCCTGCCCCTGGATTCCCCTTTCCTTTCGTTGGATCCATGGCTGAGCCCTGAAATCCACGTGCTGCATCGGGGTTTGGAATAGCAGGCAATGCTAAAGAGAAGCGAGCTCCAGAGAAGCAAAGGCTGCTTTAAAGGGGATGGCAATCGATACATCATGCAGCCCAAAGGGGGGCCGTACCCCTTCCTTGAGCCCCCCTTCTCCCCGTCTGCTCGTCTTTCCCTCGTGACACCCCCCTTTTAACCTCCCGCTGTCTTAGCATCCACCCCCTCCCCATGGACAGCAGCGCCTTCGCCTTCACCTCCTTTGGGGGCGTCCCTGCCGTGGAGTTCTCCTTCACAGAGGTGAGAGCCCTTCCCCTCCCTTCTGGGGGTGCTGTTGGGTTGGGAGGACGGGCCGGAGGATGGGGGGGATGGTCCAGCGCCCGGACTCCCCTGCCACTTGTTCACACAGGCGGGGGTCTTGCGGGGCTTGAAAGGGAGTTGGCAGGGAAGCGCGTACGCTGGACCCCTGCCACAAGCTCTCCAGTTGTGACAGAGCAACCGCCGGCCCAAGGGGGCAGACCGAGGCTCCCCCAGGCCCTGCGGGGATCCCCCACGGGGGCAGCGCTGTCCTTCGGGGATGCCTTTGATTGCAGAGGAGTTGCCGGAGACGGACGGTGCCGCAGCCAGGAGGGCGGGGCAGGATGCTCCCCGCGTGGCCGCGGGTCGAGCCAGGGAAAGGGCTGCCCCGAGCTTCAGGGCCGGCCCCCTGCAAGCGCAGGGAAGCACCCCCCATGGTGGCTGGGGAACCGGGGCTTGGCCGGGGGGCCCTGCCTCTGCCTTAACGGCCCTCTGCCCGCAGGCCTCCCGCCCCTACCCCTTCCTCAACACCATGCTGGACACCTACAGCAACCTCAACCGCGCCCTCCACGGGCGCCTGCCCGCCGTGGCCAAGACCGTGGCCGAGGTGGTGGGGCACCTGCTCATCAAGCTCACCTACGACCACCTGCTGCCGCTCGACTACTGGTGCTACGGGGACGTCCTGCTGCAGCACATCGCCCAGCTCAGCGAATACAGCACCCAGCTGAAGGTGGGGCCCTGGGCCGCGGGGGGCCGCGCTTTCGGGGAGCCCGGGGGAGGCGAAGCGCGGGCTGAGCGTGGCCGGGGCCCTGCAGCCACCGGGAGCCCGAGGGAGCCCCGCCGCCTTCCTGCCAGGGCACGGGGTCCGCGCGGCCGGAAGCGCCCAAG